TTTTTTGCCAGCAAATCTTCCCACTGGCTTCATTTTTATTAGTTCCACCACAAACTCTAAATAATGCTGCAACACTGAGGGGGGAGTACACACCGCAGGCAGTGATGATAATGAAGATGAAGACAGAAGAGGAGGAAAATTGGCACAAAAAGCACAGTGACACCATGACTATCATTCATGCCTCCCTCAGCTGAGGTCAACTGGATTTGTTTAGCTCTTGCATAATTTGTTAAGCACCAAAAGAAAAAAAAAAGGACTGGAAGGGTGCAGCAATTCCAAGCTTTCAACAAGGACCCATAAAATTAAGTCTATAATGGTGAGGGAAGGAGTTTATTTGAGGGCCATGCAAGTATGTAACAACACACAGGACAACATATAAATGTATGTGTATGTACATTTCCACATGGGTATTTAATGAGAGAACTTCTTTTGCACTTAGTTTTTGAGTTCATTGAGGAAAGAGACAACAACAGGCAGTGAATGACAGCTTGAACTGCCCATGACGAAGCAAAAATTTATTTTGTAGGAAAAGGGCTGGGATTCTAATCCAAATGCTGTAAAAAACATGAAGGCTATGTCCAGATCGTGTCACCAAAGTAAATGTCACTTTAAAACTCCGCTGATAGCCACCGCCTGATTCACACACATACACTCTCACCCACACAGAGGCGAAGCACAGTTCTTTGTAGAGACTTTTAAGTCACTCTCAGCAGATCCATGGCAACCACTTGTTGAAGCCTCACTGCTTGTTGCTAAGTGATGGGATGTATTGGACCAGAAAATCCTTCCATTGACACTCCCTCCACCCCCTTTTCCACCCACCCCTCCATCTCCCTACCCACCCATTTACCACAGCCAAAACAACCTACATATATGCTCTAACTTCCGCTAGTTAGGACAAGAAATGTTCATTTGGTATTTTGCCAGACTTAACCTGCATTTAAATACAAGTATTTAATACAAATATATGGGGGGGGGGGGGGGGGGATACCTTTTAACTTTTAATAACTGACAAAGTTCTATATATTTCACATATCCCACTGTTTCAGTACTATGTCCAGCTATTTATTTATTTAAGTAAAAGTGTCTTTTTAAAGGAACACTACACAACAGCCTTTATCGTATGAGCTGTGCCCAACCTGGGTTGTATACTCATATTTTTAGTTATCTTTTTTCATATCAAAAACATTTGGTTTGTACAGATATGTTACCCCTGACATGGAACTTATTGAGGAGCTCTACTTTATGTCTATATGATTTCATGAGTCTGAATGGGGTTCCTTAGGGGGTTCCTGGAGTCCTTTAGGGGGTTAAATTCTAAGGAAGTCAAAAGGAATAGTAACCTATGATTTAGTATGGGCCTACTTTACATCACTAGTGATTACTCCTATGACAGATCTGACCTTTGCAACCATGGCCAACTAGGTTTCATAATTTAATAGGCTACATTAACTAAAATGCACCACACCACCAACACTGGTGAAATGTAGACACATTCAGATATGCGCTGTTTGAGAAGCTTTTGTTTTCACAGACCTGCTGCATCTGTTCTCCTCCTCCTCCTCCTCCTGTTGATCCTGGTGCCCTCGTCTTTTCTCCCCTCCTCTCCCTCCCATCCCCTCCCATCCCCTCCCCTCACTGACCGATTAGCCAGTGCGGGGTTCTCTCCCATTTCCATGAGAAAGGCCGCGGTCGGTGAAAGGGTTAAGCCTTAGGACGAAGCCTCCAAAAGCAGCACTAATTTTCTGCCCGGCGGGGGAGTGGGGGAAGCGGTGAGAGGGAACAAAGACACCCGGGGGAGGAGCGGAGACTCCGGCTTTATTATATGCACCTGCGGCCTGAAAAGCCGCGGACAATGCGCCTCCGAAACGGCCAATTACGAACGGGCCATCCACCTCTCTATGGAGAGACTCGGGGGTGAAGGGAGGGGAGTGAAAGTGGGGAGGAGGGGGACGAGGAAAGTGAATTTTAAAAGGGGGTAAAGATAAGAAAGTAAATAATCGAGCTTTAAATCATTCTGGGCCCTATAGACTATCGCTCCCCATTCACCCTCACGCATCGCGCCTTCCCATCCCGGTTTCATCCCTGTCTCACTGAGCGGCCTCGGGCTGAGCTGACGGCTCCGCCTGGAAAGTCGTTGTGAAAATGGGAAAAAAAGTTGTTTTTGATTGCTCTTATGTCATTCTTATATTCTATAGTGGTTCTGGGGGTGAGGTCAGCAGCTGAGAAACACTGGTAACAAGCAGATACCAGGTTTTTCCCGGAGAAGAAAGGATTAGGCCCGTTTTTCAAGTGGGAAATATTAAATGACTAATTACTAATAATAGCAGAGGAATATTCGTTTATTACAGTCACAATGAGGTAGCAGCCTAAGAAGTACTAAAGGACCAAAGGTTTACTAATACATTGCTTTATTCCGTTCAGAAATCACACATTCTTCACAACTCAATTAACCGTTTTATCATTTTTAATAGAATTTTGTTTTCTTACTGTTGCAGCTTGTCACTGATTTCTATTCATTTCCGTGGATTATAAAAACCTATAAGTGAAAAACCTGCTAGTTCTAATTAAATACTCAACAGCAAGTCTTACCAAGTGTGTATAAAATGTAGATACATGACCATTATAATGCAGCAGCTCAAACCTTTCTAATCCACCTGCACTTTGAGCTGCAATAACATTTTTTTAAAACCTACTGCAGATTCAGTTCTGGCAAAGATGATTTTAAACACTTAAGAGTTAATTGATCTTTATATCACATGGAAATGAATGCAGTGAATGTAAGGTAGCAAAAGGATAAACGACTGGTAGAAGTTTAGAGCCAGTTGTCAACTGCTAAGCTCCACTCACACTCAGTGGTCACTTAATTAGGTACACATGTAAAATTTAGTGCAATCCAATAGAGGGGTTAGTGGGGCTGTTTTAGCGTTTATTGAACTGTATTGCATAACCCCTCAATGGGAGTGTGTGAACAGACTGAACTGAATTGGAATACCAAGCACATGAACACAGTTGTTTTAGTATAGTGGTGAGGACACTTGCTGACATAATGCATTCCCTAGCCCCTCAACCTAAGCTTATCCATCATAACTAAATACCTAACACCAAGCCTAACTCAACCCTAAAACCAGGTTTAAACCTTCAGCTTAAATGGAGGACTGACTAAAATGTCCTCACAATGACGACGTTAAAAATGGGGTTCACACAAGGTAACAATCTAAAAACTACGCAGCTCCTGCCTACAGCGAAATCATCAACATGCACACACAGACAACATTTAACATGACATCATTAGTAAAAATGTTTGAGCTTTTAATTATTGTCATGAATGCCATAAAGTTCTTTTTAAACAAAGACTCAGGACTCTTAGTATAAGAGCCTAAGATGTATACATTATTTACATGAATGCTACATACACCAACTCTAGTACATGGCAGCATTTACATACAAAAAAATTTCTAAAAAATAAAGATACAAGTCAGTATAAAACTTTTCAAAACAGTTGGGTAGCAATGTAAACAATCATGCATTACTTCAATAGAACTTCATTTTCAAAAAAATAAGTCAGGCCTCGATTTCCAGTCCATGTTTAGTAAAGGAAAGCCCCAGGCTACAGAACTGTCTGGAAAACCCATCAGGTTTAATATGCATTTCCTTTAGGTCTATATAGCAGCACTAGTAACCAGACAGCAGGCTAGACAGACAAATGGATAATGACGGTCAGTTTGAAAGAACCAGGATTTAAAATGCAGTTTTATTATTTTCTATAATTATAAAATGCCAAACAGGCAAAGTTATCTGAAAAGGTTTTTTATAAACAAGCTTTAATCTGAAACATTCTGACTGCTGATTAAAAAAAACCAAAAAAAAAAACGGATAGCTCAAAAAAAAAAACAAAAAAAAACCCTGGAAGGCCTTTACTCAATCCAGTGTACTTGATGGAAGACAACTTGCATGTCTTAATCTATTCAGAATAAAACTGCAGTTTGAATTTAATATTTTCATTCACATAATAAAACATCTAAAAACAATACAGCCCCTGCCTACAACAAAATGATAATCAATACACAGACCAGAACAATGCATCCAAGCATGTACATCACAGAAGAAATCTAAGTCTAATTATAGCAAATGAAAGTCATACAGGGAGCATAAACAGAGTAACATCTTCTCACACTCACAACTGCAAATGCAGTGATCTGGTGAGACATGAGGACACAAGACCTACTGAATGTGGATCTAGTCTGGTTCTACTCTCTAAACACCACATATTATAAAAGCCATTGTGCTCTGTTTACTTCCTGTTCCTGCAGTGCTGATTGTCCAATAGGTGTTTTCCATGCCCCAGCAGGATGTCATCAAAATAAAATTTAAAAAATATACACGAGTATTAAACCAAAGTCAAGGCACAAAGTTGATTTTTTAAAAAAGCTGTTATACAAATTGTGCATTTTCTTCCATCTTTCCCACCGACACCCAGCTGTTCTCCAATGATGCTCGCACATCAGGACTCAGCACTGGCTAGGTATGGCTGTCATTAGTGCCACAGCCACAAGTGTTTAGGGTGGTGTTAAGGAGTCTTTGACTTATGGAGAAGTTCTAAGAATATAAAAAGGCACAGTAACATTTCCTAATATATACACAAACAGATGTTGCCACTCATCACTGCATGGAGAAATGTTTGCTGGAGAGTGGTGGGCAGGAAGGAGTCTCCACTCTGTACAGTGGTGGTGATGGTGGGATGGGCATTTATTTGAACTGATGTGACACCAAAGAGGTAGAAACAGCATTTCAGTGATAGAAACATCTAGTCGGCATTTGTGTGTCTGCAATCTGAGACTACTGAATGCAGGGAAACTTTTTTCCCCCCCTTCATCTTGTATCGTTGTGCCTTGCCAGTCCTCCATACCACAGCCAGCTCCTGTCCAGCCAGCTGTGCATCATCATCATCTCTGGTTGTCCCACTAAGTTCACCCCACCCACCCACCCGTTATTCCCACTTAGTGCTGCTGGACACTGGTGTAACCCCTCTGTGCTGTCATGGGGTCACTGGCATCTCCTCCTGGTCCAGGTATGTACATGCTGATCATGTCCCTGATGTCACCCTGCAAAGGCCCCCTGTGGTGATTGGGTGCTCCTGTCGGAGGAGAGTGGGACACAGGTTCCGTTTTCACCATAGACATGGTGACTGGGCTCGGCTGCTGGGGGCTGCTACTGTACGACATGGGGCTGTTGGGGGGAGCAGACAGAACTTATTAGACACCATCTGGTACATATATACATTTCCTTAAACCAAATTCTAACCTAAGGCCTAAAACCAAATCTTATCCCTCAAAAAGATTCTGCCTCTATTTGCTCAGGTAGACTGCACTCCAACTGTATTTCAGGCAAGACAAACTAACGCGCTGCATACTTTGAACTACCTCACCTCACAATAATAGTTGTAGCTGGACTAGATACAATGTTAAACTGCTGCTTGCACAGAATTCTTTATTAATATATGTAGTAAGAACATAACATTAAATCCTGCTACCACCAAACTGTTCCAAAGATCTTTTACTACAGAGTAATGACACATAAATACACCTTTCATTTATATGGTCAAAATGTACTTGGTTGTCAGAATTCATTTAATTTTGATACTTCAGCACATTTTACTACATATATACAAGCACATTGTAAATCTTAAATACAAGATTTTCACTTGCAAATGGGGAACTTGCATTATGGTGCAACTACAGCACTTCCACTGAGGTAATTAATCTAATCTGCTCATACCTTTGTAAAAAGCAGTGAGCCAAGGAGTTAGTTTACACAATTGCTTTAACTACCTTCATATTGATCAGGTGAGAGTGATGGCTGCAGCGTTTGGTCAATGCTAGCTTAGCGTACGATGCCACCTGCAAACTCTGTGGGTCCGTCAGACACTTCTTCAAACATATGTATCGTTTTCAGTATACATATGTTTTTATCAATGCAATGAGTGGGGTGTCACTGTAGAGACACTTGCCTGCAGACAGCATCCTACTCAATCCCGTCTGTGCAAAACAATTTAGTTTTTTTTTTTTAAATAAAAAGCAGAAGTGTTCAAGAAGTGTGACTTATTTCACACCATGGGCCATCTTTTTATTACAACTGAATTTAAGTATGAAATATTATAAGTGGGCTATTTGAAGTTTTATTTGCCCCCCTGATCAGTTCTTGCCATTTTATCTTAAATTCAGTTCATAAAAAGATAAGTGACTAGTTTTTACTCATTGTTCTTATTTTAAACTTTAATAGTCTAAGTTACTGAGAGTCAATGTGACAAAATGGGCAGCAACAAGTTTCAAGGGTGGAAATGTTCAGTGAAATTCATTTCACCGTCATCCAACCTTACACCACAGTGTTGAATCTTTGTAGTTTGCAGGACATGAGACCTATTGCAGATGTGTAACTGAGGACAATAGTCGAAGGAATATAGGAGTGTGGATAAAAGACCACACACACACCAAGGAATCCTGCTGCCATCGAGTCATCCTGATCAACATTCCACGCAGTACCCAGCCCAGAGCAGTGTCACACGCATAACAAGTAGGCAACAGACTGAAGCCTGTTGTTCCATCACATGCAGAGCTCCGGACTGACTCAGTGAAAGTGAATGTACTCGAACATTTCAACCTGATTCAGGTTTAATTTTTAGGTACTCCTTTTATGAGTCAGTTTTACATCAGGTGCACTGAGTAGATGGAGAACATGAGAAGTCTGACAGGTGTGTTTAGACCATTTGCCATTACTTACTCATTCACTAATCAATTTCAAACTCTAGTCAAATTGTTAAAATTAAAATACAATTAACAAGATGAGTTATCAAAATACAGAACTGAATGTTTTACTGCTCCTAAGTCAAGTCACCATCTAATTGTACAAGTAGGCTACTGTCAGAGGTATGTAGTGTAGAAGTGGAATTATGGCCTTGGATCACATTTTGCACCGTGTTAGCAACAGAAAAGAGTGACTGGAGAACTTTATTACATGGTCCCACTTAAAAAGAATAAAAGCACAATTTAAAAAGTAAATGCATCATTTAGAACACCTTGATCTAAACAAGTTGGTTCATATGTGTGTGTGTGTGTGAGAGAGAGAGATAGATCTCACACACACAATCACAATGAACGGTATCCTCCAATTGTTGTCATTTAAAGCCACACAAAATTATGGCCCATCTTTTTTAAAAAGCCATTATCAGGACGTTGATAACTGGTATTTTGATGACAGTTACTAAAGAAAACTGACAAGCGGATTCTGGCTACAGCTTGTGTTGGAGGCCTAGTTAACTTATCTGATGGAGGAGACTAATTTCATTAAAGATACTATTACATTTTGAAATTAGGACATAAAAAGGTTAGAAGGAACAAATGCTGAAACGAGGTAAGAATAGTTAAGTTATCCTTACTGAGTTTATGTACAGATGATTTTTATTGTCCTTTTAAAATGTGGCAACAATAAAATGTTAAAATCTAGATGTTATTCTAAATACAATTACCGGGTAAAGACAGTACACAACACACCCATCTTTAAAATTCGACGAGAACTTTACTGCGGTTCCCACGCCAGCCTCACCTGTACGAGTTGGCTCCGTTCATGTACGTCTGCGCTGCCGTCATTGCAGGTGGGTACTGCAGAGCAGACAGGTCATACCGGTGGAGCTGCTGTGTGTAGCCGAGCGCCTCGCCCTGCATGCCGGCGTACCCCCCGGTGGGGCCCCAGCCGTAGCTCTCCATCCTCGTACTGCCACCTTGGACCGGCGCCGCCAGCAGGTTACCCGCTGACAGCGGGTACTTGCCCACCTGAGTGTCCTTCTTAAGCAGGGGCTTTGTCTTGCGCCGTGGCTTGTACTTGTAGTCCGGGTACTCCTTCATGTGCACTGCTCGGAGCCGCTTGGCTTCGTCGATGAAGGGCCGCTTCTCGGCGTCGGTCAGGAGTTTCCACTCGGCTCCCAGCCGCTTACTGATCTCAGAGTTGTGCATTTTGGGGTTTTCTTGGGCCATCTTGCGCCTCTGTCCCCTGGACCAGACCATGAAGGCGTTCATGGGCCGCTTGACTTTATCCATGGGGTCGCTTCCAGGAGCACATGCCGTTTTGGAGCTCGGGTGAGAGTTGCCGTTGCTCCCCATGTTCCCAGTCATGTTGCCGGTGACCGGTGACATCCCCTGGGTGGTCTGATGAGAAGGCGGCTGGCCGCTCGGCTTCAGCTCGTGTTCCATCATGCTGTACATGCTGAACAGATGTATTAATGTTAAGATGAGTTACAGAATAGTTGGAACGCTGAAGCGCACAGCAGCCTTTGTGGCCGTCCACTTGACGACCTGGGGCCAGGGTTCCCTACGGGTTTAACCGAGAGCGCCGGGTGATCCAAATTAACTAATTACAACACACCCAGGAGACAACACGCCGCAACAACCGGTTCTTTTTACTTTTCCTGAACTACAAGTCCAACTGTGGCAGTCATTACTCTGATAGCCTACTAAAAATACGTCTATCTAAAGTTCAGTGAATACAAACGCAGCAGCTGTGAAACTCAGAGGATCCCACTTGTCGCACGGCCTGTTCATACACTGAACTCATCTGCCTGTTCACGCCATAAGTTCTCATGTGCTCCTGCAGTCAGACGGGTGCCTATTGGCCAATGGGAGCGCGCAAAGCTTCCTTCTGTGCGCCTGCATTTACAACTGAAAAGACTCCGGTGGTGCGCGAAACACTTGCTGATGACGGAGGTGGAAATGTTCCAGACAGACGAGTGTCTTAATAATCACATATAGCCTCAACTTTACTGAGTCTTAAGTTGGGTTTTATTAATGTCCTTTAAGGAAACAGCGTGGGAAAATAAAATCAGACGCTGCGAGAGCAAATCCCAGTTTACAACAGAAATGGGGGCAAAGTGCCGGAGTTTGACCTCCTTCGAGAGTGTTTCTTTACACTAAACTTAGGAAAGCTGGTGTTATGTCAAATTGTGCTACCTTAGTAGCAGAGCCTATGGATTCATTACCCCAACCCCATCCCTCACCCACTGTGTGTTGTACCTACCATGTGTACCGTCATTTGACCGAACACCGGCAAACTCCTCGGTTCAATTTACGCAGCCGGTAGCAGCGGCGTCTGAAGTGGCCACTTTGAAAATGAAACTGATTTTGTTTCATATATTTATAAATGGAGATAGGGAATTACAGTGCCTACTACCTGCATCCAGTTTCAGGTCTGTGTCTGAGAGCAGGACAGGGCCACACACACACACAGACACACACACTCACAAAGTGCACCTCACCCCACAACAGGCTGTATTCATACACAATCCTTCCCACAGAGGTGTGTGTGCTTATTTGTGCTTTAGAACATAACCACAGTGAAACAATCACAAAGTTTTAATTCTCTAGTTCATTTTGTTCTCACTGATGCTGCTCTCTCTCCTCATTCACTCTCTGGCTCTGTCCCTCATGTAGACCCCCCCTTCAGTCTTATTCCGTTTATACAGGAGGTGGGGCGAACTCTCTCCAATTGTTTATTTTGTGTAAAAAAAAAAAAGACATACTGGTTTCTTTAACCAAGGATGGCTGCAGTCCTTATTTACTCCCTGCTGGGGATATCAATGCTGCACAGTGGCTGCCAACCGTAATGGAACCACAGTACGGTTGCACAAAGCCACCATTTCATGTCACTAACTGTGTGTCTATCCTGTCCACACGCCGAAGTGTTCTTGAGCAAGGCACTGAACCCCCAGTTGCTCTCGGTGATGTCACCGGTGCCTGAATGCGAGAGTGCTTGGGAGTGTGAATGGGTGAATGGCCAAATAGTGTGAATGGGCAACATGTGAAGTGTTCTTACAGTTAGATATGAAACATGTACATACTTGTTTACATGCACAGAACATGCTCACACATGTTGCTGAAAGGAGAAAAGTATCAGTATAATCTAAATGCTTTAGAGAGAATAAGATAAATATTAACAGTGCATCATATAAAACATGAAAAGATGTCACATGAAATCATTAAAATTATTCATAGGCCAACTATAATAAAAATGAATTTTAAGATGTGATTTTAAAGAAGATTTGTGATTTGTTGAGTCTGAGCTCGTCTGGCAGGTCGTTCCAGCACCTTAATATCAAAGTCATGATAACAACACATCTAGACACAGGGACAGCCAGCAGCAATACTGTAAGGTCTAGACCTTCCTATGTTAAGGGCCCAAAAAAGTTTGGCGTTTAAGGCATACCTATTGCTTTATCATTCATTCATATTGACAACTCTGATGTCCAGAGTTTTTGTTAAGTTAGCTGCAAGGATCATACTGCCTCCGCCTACTCAACGTCATCCATCCAAAGTTGGCTACAGTGATGTACACATGTAAATTATTTTGGCATAAAACATTTAGTCTGACATGTTTGACTCCATTTTGAGATCTCTGCCCAAACATGCCCACCAGGACAATAGGCGTCGGTCCACAGGTGAGGGTTCAAAGACAGGTAACGATGCTCGCCAATACCAGGCTATAACGACTCAGTCATTAGAGGACGTTGCTGGCCATCAAAGGACTGAAACACCACCGAGGGGGATAAATATGTCTGGTTCAAAAACATGTCATTACAATCCACAACCTAAGACTGTATAAAGAGGTTAATTTATTGTAGGGATCTTGAGGAAGGCCACTTTGAGGGCCAAGCTGGTACAAGCGAGTGCAGTAGAAAGACTGTGCGTGATGCCTCAATAGGATGGTTAAGCTCAGCAGCTCCTTTAATCCTTCAGAAAGATGACACAGGGGCAAAAGAGTGTTTCTAGTACTGACATGTGCGCTATTTTCACTAATAGATGAAAGATGGAGACCTCAGACTTTGACTGGAGAGAGTGGTAGAGAAGATGGAAACATAACCAGAGGATGGTAGACCATGTGGGTGAGTGACCACTGACTGCTGCATTACATGGAGTTTGTCACTGCTCTAAAAGCAAGCACACACTCAGAAATAGAAAATGAGTGAGTTAAGGGCACAACCAAGCTTAAGGGGAGCTTTGAAACTGAGTGAGAGGCAGCAGGGAGGGGGGCTGAGAAGCTTTGGCCATGCAGCCCTAAAATAGACTCCACAGGTAAGTATACCACATACTGTAAGTATACACTACATTTCTCAGGTAGCACTTGAGTCTCTTCTGCAGATTGACACACACACACACACACAGAGAGAGAGAGACACTGAAGTGAAAGTGAGGTGACTAAGTGGTGTAAGCACACTGGACATATTTCACCAAAAAAAGACAAGTCCCCTTTTGAGCACGCAAAATGATAAACGGGGAATAGAGCAGATTGTCTCCTCACCAGAAGATTAGCGGTTCAATTCCTGACTTATCCTGTCCACACGCCGAAGTGTTCTTGAGCAAGGCACTGAACCCCCAGTTGCTCTCGGTGATGTCACCGGTGCCTGAATGCGAGAGTGCTTGGGAGTGTGAATGGGTGAATGGCCAAATAGTGTGAATGGGCAACATGTGAAGTGTTCTTACAGTTAGATATGAAACATGTACATACTTGTTTACATGCACAGAACATGCTCACACATGTTGCTGAAAGGAGAAAAGTATCAGTATAATCTAAATGCTTTAGAGAGAATAAGATAAATATTAACAGTGCATCATATAAAACATGAAAAGATGTCACATGAAATCATTAAAATTATTCATAGGCCAACTATAATAAAAATGAATTTTAAGATGTCATTTTAAAGAAGATTTGTGATTTGTTGAGTCTGAGCTCCTCTGGCAGGTCGTTCCAGCACCTTATAACAGCACATCTAGACACAGGGACAGCCATCAGGTTCTTGTCTGCGGCCCTCTGGCTCAGTGCAGTGATGCTAAAATTGGAGAAATGCGTTGTCTTTTCCTGGTTTTAGGAATGGAGCCAACGCCAGTTGGCACTGGGCAAGAGGCAGGGTGCACCATGGACAGGTTGCCAGTTTATCTCAGAGCTGACACTTTGAGACAGACAGCCACACACACTGAAATGTATAAATCATATTATGGGGTCAAACCATCAGTGGAATAATGCTTTCGGGTGAAATAGCATTATAGGGAAACCGGGTTGCCAAGGCAGAGATCTAGTTTATGTATTTTTTTAACATCATGCCTTTGTACAGGAATGTTAAAGTGTTCAGCACCAGTCAATAAATGATCTATTATTTAAAACATGTATCGTTTTAAAAATTGAATTTGCTTTGAAAGTCTAAGACTATGCCAATACCAGGCTATAACGACTCAGTCATTAGAGGACGTTGCTGGCCATCAAAGGACTGAAACACCACCGAGGGGGATAAATATGTCTGGTTCAAAAACATGTCATTACAATCCACAACCTAAGACTGTATAAAGAGGTTAATTTATTGTAGGGATCTTGAGGAAGGCCACTTTGAGGGCCAAGCTGGTACAAGCGAGTGCAGTAGAAAGACTGTGCGTGATGCCTCAATAGGATGGTTAAGCTCAGCAGCTCCTTTAATCCTTCAGAAAGATGACACAGGGGCAAAAGAGTGTTTCTAGTACTGACATGTGCGCTATTTTCACTAATAGATGAAAGATGGAGACCTCAGACTTTGACTGGAGAGAGTGGTAGAGAAGATGGAAACATAACCAGAGGATGGTAGACCATGTGGGTGAGTGACCACTGACTGCTGCATTACATGGAGTTTGTCACTGCTCTAAAAGCAAGCACACACTCAGAAATAGAAAATGAGTGAGTTAAGGGCACAACCAAGCTTAAGGGGAGCTTTGAAACTGAGTGAGAGGCAGCAGGGAGGGGGGCTGAGAAGCTTTGGCCATGCAGCCCTAAAATAGACTCCACAGGTAAGTATACCACATACTGTAAGTATACACTACATTTCTCAGGTAGCACTTGAGTCTCTTCTGCAGATTGACACACACACACACACACAGAGAGAGAGAGACACTGAAGTGAAAGTGAGGTGACTAAGTGGTGTAAGCACACTGGACATATTTCACCAAAAAAAGACAAGTCCCCTTTTGAGCACGCAAAATGATAAACGGGGAATAGAGCAGATTGTCTCCTCACCAGAAGATTAGCGGTTCAATTCCTGACTTATCCTGTCCACACGCCGAAGTGTTCTTGAGCAAGGCACTGAACCCCCAGTTGCTCTCGGTGATGTCACCGGTGCCTGAATGCGAGAGTGCTTGGGAGTGTGAATGGGTGAATGGCCAAATAGTGTGAATGGGCAACATGTGAAGTGTTCTTACAGTTAGATATGAAACATGTACATACTTGTTTACATGCACAGAACATGCTCACACATGTTGCTGAAAGGAGAAAAGTATCAGTATAATCTAAATGCTTTAGAGAGAATAAGATAAATATTAACAGTGCATCATATAAAACATGAAAAGATGTCACATGAAATCATTAAAATTATTCATAGGCCAACTATAATAAAAATGAATTTTAAGATGTGATTTTAAAGAAGATTTGTGATTTGTTGAGTCTGAGCTCGTCTGGCAGGTCGTTCCAGCACCTTAATATCAAAGTCATGATAACAACACATCTAGACACAGGGACAGCCAGCAGGTTCTTGTCTGCGGCCCTCTGGCTCAGTGCAGTGATGCTAAAACTGGAGAAATGCGTTGTCTTTTCCT